AAAACAAACCCTAATATCTTACTATGCAGGGAAAGCATCAAAGGGTTGTTCAACTTCCAGGAACCCGGAGTGTTCTTAATAAGTAATTATACTTAAAGCACAACAAGTTTAAAAACAGTGGTTTTCTACCTTATGTTATTAAGTGAAAAAGGTTCTAATTATGGTGGCAATCATATTCGCCAGAGCCCTATAAAGAGTTGAGGGTTCTCCCTCTATAATAAAGGATATAAGGCTTTAACGACCTCGGCTCCCAGTAGTATTGGTGGTATCCCTTGGATACTCACATCCATTTGACTTGTTTGATGCGTGAAAGGATGTTCCTTAATTTCGTCTTGCGCCTGACGTCTATCATCATCATCATTTCAGCCACAGGACGTCCATTATTGAACATAGGCCTCCCCCAATGACTTCCACATTGCCCGGTTAGTAGCGGCCTGCATCCAGCGCCTTCCTGCTACCTTTATCAGGTCGGTCCACCTTGTGGATGGAGGTCTCACACTGCGTTTTCCGGTACGTGGCCTCCACTCCAGAACCTTGCTGCCCCATCCATCTAGCTCTGATGTCTATAGTCCGGTCACCGAGCACGTAGAATGTCGTCCAATGACCCCAAACTACCTATCCTTATCGCTCGCGCGTAATTATATTACTGTCGCGGTCGCACATTCACTACTGCCGCCCGTCGCACAGTCGCGACAGCAATATAATTACGCGCGAGCGATAGCTTGGGGTTATTGTACGAAATTCTACGTGCTCGACGACCAGACTTTATACCAGTTTATAATTTCTAACTTAAAATTGCGTACTGATAACAAAACCCAACTTACAGCCTCCGGGAAATCAGCCAGCAAATCATCCAGCTTCTTAGGCGGCTGCTGGGTGCCAGCCGAGGGGGTCGCGGGACGCGGGAAGGGCGCGGGCGAGGGCGCGGGGCTTAGGTGGGTCGTAGCGGGGAGTGGCGGGGAAGCGGGGAAGCGCTGCGTCGTGTTGTGCGAGGAGTACGACGTCTCCGAGTACTTGTAGGAGGATGGACCCTGGAACAAAAAAAAATACATACAGTCGAACATATAACCTCCTCCTTTTTTTAAGTCGGTTAATGAATGTTTATGGGACCAATGGCAACCATTTCTCATTTTTGTCGGCCGTTTGGTCATTGGTGTAGTGGTTCAGAACGGACTACTATACCGAGAGGTCCCGGGTTCGATTCCCGGCCGGGCAGAAATTGAAATGATTAATTTTCATTTCTGTGGCGGGTCTGAATGTTTTCTATGTATTTATTACAAAAAAAGTATTTAAGTATGTTTATGTCCGTTGTCTAGTACCCATAGTACAAGCTTTGCTTAGTTTGGGGCTACTAGCGGTGCAGTGTAAAATGTCCAAGGTTATTTATATTTATTTATATTATTTCGCGCCGAACAAAGAATCACATAAATCGGATCAGAAATCTCGGCGTAATCGGTGTGTGTGTACTGGAAAAAAGCAGTCAAAAGGGATATTGACCAAGGGCATCAGTTATAATCACTTTGACTGATTTTTGCAGTCAAAAGTGGTTTTGATTAAGAGTTTTTTTTACTGTTTTGACATGCATAAAATAACCAACCAAATTGAGAACCTCATCTTTTTGTTGAAGTCGGTTAATTAACATTAGTAATTTTGTTTCATTTAAATAAATAAATAATTCTTTATTCAAGTAAGTAGGACTCAGTTTGTTAGTAACAAATTGCACTTAAAACTTGACCTTGGGCTAAACATAGTGATACCGACTTAATTTTTAACACCTGTAATATGTTATTTACCTATGTTCCACAAATAAACGAATTTGAATTTGAAAACTGTTAAACATTTAACCCGTCACCTGCCACAAGATCAGACACAATAAATATTTCTTTAGATAACTACTTTGATTCAACCAAATCTCAGAGATATTAAAAGCCTCTTAAAAGTGGTGTAAATTGGCGATTATAATTTACTTTATTTAAGTACTAAGATAAAAAAAATATGATTTAATATTTAGGGTGATTTAATAATGTTAACTGTTATAGCTTTATGAATATGGAGAAGTACTTTAATTATATTTTGTACGATGCATTTGAGCAGAAGAACCCTTTTTCTTTGATCAAGTATAAAATAGTACGGCTACCACGAAAATCTTTCGAGTTCGAATCGTTTGCGTATTCGAATCGCCGTCAAAAGATTTAGTACGAAAACTACAACAGCGCCCTTGTGAACGTGTCGTAAAGTGAACTTAGTATGAAAAATGGTTGCACGAAACTTATTTTAAGAATCAAAATTGTCACGTTATCATCGTTTAATTCGAAGGTCGAGTATCGAATTTTGTCGAATACGCAAACGATTCTAAGACGAAAGTTGTTCATGCTAGAGGTACTGTATAACTGTATAATATACAGTACAGGGCCGGATCTACCATATGGCTTTTTGGGCTTCAGCCCAGGGCCCCGTGGATTCAAAGGCCCCCAGTTAAATCAAATCCAATATTTTACTGTCTCATTTTTTTCTATACTTTAAGTAATTAAGTTGGCCCCTAAGTAGTTAGCCCAGGGCCCCCTAAACTCACGGTCCGGCCCTGAGGTGGAATTGTGTAAAGCAATCGTATTCATTCGACAGTTCATAACGTACGATTATGCTGTCAAACGCTTTGTATAACTGACTTAGGGCCGTTTTTTCAATCATCAGATAACTTTTAACTGAGGAATAAACTTGTCATTTTGACATATTCCCCATACTGAAACTGTCAATATGCCAAACTTATTCTTCAGTTAAAAGTTATCCGATGATTGAAAAATCAGCCCTTAATCGTACGTTATGAACTGTGAAATGATAACGATTGCTTTACACAATTCCACCTCTGATACAGTAGCACTCACGTAGGGGCCGTGTCCATTGCGCGGCTCGGAAGGCCCTGAAGGCCCTGAAGGCAGCACGGTGGTCTCGTTGGCCGGCGCCGGGTACACCATGCGCTCGCTTGTGTGCTCTGGAAATGGTTATAAATATTAAATATAAGTAAGAATACCAACAAAAAATATGTCAGATTAAGATTTCACGATAATTTAGATCAAGCTGGCGTGAGGCGTTCAAAAATAAAGGGAAAAAAAATCTTGCATTGAATGAACATTCTAGTCTTCAATGAAGGTTGTTTAACCTGTTGGCGACTTTTTAGGTAAACCATTAAAATATTAACATCTCGTCAATGCAGCTTCCACTACAGCAGGTAGGTAAGCGGAAAATATTTCCGGCCGTTTGGTTTAGTGGCACTGAATAAGTAATAGTACCTAGTGGTTCAGACAGAACGGACTACTATGCCGAGAGGTCCCGGGTTCGATTCTCGGCCGGGCAGGAATTTAAATGATGAATTTTAATTTATGTGATGGGTCTGTTACTATGTATAATAGGTATGTCATGTAATTAAAAAGTACGATTAAGTAGTATATCTGTTAAGCTAGCACCCATAACACAAGCATACCTATAAGTTGCTTACTTTGGGGCTAGCTGGCGCTGTGTGAATTGTCCAAAGTTACTTTATTTATTTCAGAGAGCGCTGCTGCCCGTTCTCTGTTTGATGTGTGGACCAGCAGCGCTCTCTGAAAAACATCAATCTTTTAAACTGCGATCTCCAACCCGCCTGCCAAGCGTGGGGATTATGGCAAAACCCTCCACTATAGTGGAGGAGGCTCATAGTCCAGCAGTGGACTGTAAAGGGCTGTTGATGATGATGATGATTATTTATTTCCCCTGCGAAGTAAAGGATCTCCACGTACCATCGTTGGAGGTGACCTGGCGGAACTCCCGCACGTGCCGGTTGCAGTGCGAGCAGTACTGGCAGCCGCCCGGCGCCGGCGACGGGGCCGGCTTCAGCGTGCTCGTGCTGCAAATAATACGTAGCATGTAAGGAACAGAGTTACATCTCAAGTCAAAAATCTTTGACCAGTGTGTGTTGCCAGTGATGGTATATGGTCAGAAACGTGGTCGCTTACTATGGGCCTCATAAGAAGGCTCAAAGTCACCCAAAAGGCGATGGAGCGGGCTATGCTCGGAGTTTCCCTGCGTGATCGAATCAGAAATGAGGAGATCCGCAGGAGAGCCAAAGTGACATAGCTCGCAGAATTGCTAAAATCAAGTGGCAGTGGGCGAGGCACATAGCTCGTAGAGAGCGACCACGAGCCGGAAGACGTGTGGGCAGGTCTCCTACTAGGTGGACCGACGATCTGGTGAAGGTCGCGGGAGGTGCCTGAATGCGGGCAGCGCAGGACCGGTCTTTGTGGAAAACCTTGGGGGAGACCTTTATCCAGCAGTGGACGTCTTTTTCGACTCTTTTGAAGTGGCAATAGTTAGGGCACATAGTACGCAGAACTGACGCCCGATGGGGCAGCAAGGCTCTGGAATACATACCATCTGGAATACAGCTCTGGCCACGTATCGGAAAACGAAGCGTGGGACGTCCACCCACAAGGTGGACCGACGATCTGATAAAGGTAGCAGGAAGGCGCTGGATGCAGGCCGCTACCAACCGTGCGATGTGGAAGTCATTGGGGGAGGCCTATGTACCTACAGCAGTCAAGTCAAGTCAAGTCAAAATTTCTTTATTTGTTTGGACTAATAAATAGTTCTTACAAATCGTCATTTTGCTCTTAAGGAGCCTCTACGTGTGGACAGTGGACGTCCTATGGCTGAAATGATGATGATAATGATTGACGTCTTTCGGCTGAAACGAAGGAACGAAGGAAAAGTCCGCTGTCCACACTGATGTCTGCCCTAGGTCCTCCCTACAGTATTTTTGAAGATCTGTTGTCTCTCCTGAGAGAGAAAATGCTTTGCGCATACCCACTGGCCGATGGGACAGACCAGTGGTTTTTATGAAACTCTCAGTGTGGATTGTGTCCACCGGAGCCCAATGAGACGGAGCCGCGAGTTTTTGTCCGTACTTGGACATTCATCCCGACCAGTCCTAGCTTATCTTCCAGATAGTTACCTCGATGTGACGTAGCGCTGCTGATCAGCCGAAGTCACGTAATTGTGCTGGTGGTCAGCCACCGGCGGCAGAAGTACAGAGACCAGGTCCTAATCGCAAGGCACCTCGTACTTGTTGTTGGGCACCGGGTGTGCCCGTTACTATACCTATTGTATATTTGATTGATTTGGAGATGTTCACTTTGTACTATATTGAAACACGTCTTTGTCTAATGGTGTTTAATGAACAACTGCCGTCAAAAAGTAAAAAAACAAAGCGTCAAAATATAAAAAACATTCCAAAAGAAAAAATACAAAAAACGTATAAAAAAAGTCTGTCGCCAACACTTGTATCAATGGAATATTTACGAGTAGCAGTGGATGTAAAGCTGGACTGAATGGAGCCATGTAAAAAACTTGAAATCCTAGTTCGTCTGAATACCTACCTCAGCCATCGCAATGAAGAAGAATATTGCCTACCTACTTAGATGGGGGGCAGCGCAAGACCAGTTATTATGGAAATCCTTAGGGGAGGCTTTTTTCCATCAGTGGACGTCTTTTGGCTGAAACAAACAAAGAAGAAAACTAACAACGTTTGTTACCTGGAGGTGACATAGCGCTGCTGATCAGCCGAAGACACGTTAGTGTGCTGGTGGTCAGCCACCGGCGGCAGCGGCACAGACGCCGGGTCCTGGTCACACGGCACCTGACTCGTACTAGTATCAATGGAAGCTCTATATTTACGAGTAGCAGTGGATGAAAAGCTGGACTGAATGGAGCCATGTAAAAAACTTTAAAATCCTAGTTCGTCTGACATACCTCAGCCATCGCAATGAAGGAGAAAATTGCCTAACTAGATGGGGGGCAGCGCAAGACCACTTGTAGAAATCCTTTGGGGAAGCTTTTGTCCAGCAGTGTGCTTTGCCTGAAACTAACGAAGAAGAAAACTAGTTACCTGGAAGTGACGTAGCGCTGTTGATCAGCCGAGGACACGTAAGTGTGCTGGTGGTCAGCCACCGTAGCAAAGGGTGAAGTTTGAGCCCAGTCATGTAGAAATCTACCTGACATTCCCTCACCAGTCCTAGTTTGTGTGATGACAGTTACAACTTACAATGAAGAAGAAAACTAATAGTTACCTACCTGAACTAGGTCACATAGCGTTACCTAATGTTTTGTTGATCGCCATCCCAAGTTTCGCGACGTTAAGCCTATGACCTGAACGTAGAAACCTGACAACTAAAGCTGAAAAATCTCCTCTAACGTTACTTGGGAGATACAACATTAGAAACGAGAGAGGATTAAAGTGGATACTGGATATATTACCTGGAGGTAACATAGCGCTGCTGATCAGCCGAAGACACGTAAGTGTGCTGGTGGTCAGCCACCGGCGGCAGCGGCACGGACGCCGGGTCCTGGTCGCACGGCACCTCGTACGTGTAGGTCTTGACAGTCGTGGTCACCTTGTTCATGGGGGTACTGGACCGGGACAGCTGGAGATGAGGTAAGAAGGTTTTATTGCAAAACATAGGTCACTGAGTTTCTTCTGCCACTTCTTCTCAGCACCTGTGCTTTTTGAAGCGCATAGTGGTTGGACTAATGCTTCTAATAGAGCGTTTGACTTAAAGGGTTATGCCCACTTAGTATGGGACCTTTGGCCTGAGGTGGACAGACATTACAGCATCTAATTTGTTATTTATTAAATAGTCTATACCAGTAAGAAACAGTATGTCAAAAGGCAGACTAGATCAAGCACAATTCACATAACAAAATAATTAACTAATTTTAGGAGATTCTTATCAAACACAAAAAACTGGAAATACGGAACCCTAAAAAGCACTGTTGCCGGTAGAACTACAGTATAAGTAGAACAGGCTCGTCCCAGCATAATAACTAAACCGCCTCCATGAGAATCTGTTGCGGGAATCATCTGCTATGATACAAAGTGACTCACCGTGCCGGTGGAGTGATGGCAATGGGAGCAGACGGGCTGCGGCACGGCCAGCGGCAGCGCCGGCGACACCTGCGACGGCACCACGCGGGACTCTGCAACACGCGAGGTTATACATTACATTACAGAGCCTTTGCAGGAAGCTGTGGGGTCGAGCGACGCAGTTTTGGGCGCGGATCGCCTTATTCAATATACAAAAACTGGTGACGGCACACTTTCTCAGTCCATTGAGATCGATAGGCTCTCATCATCATCATCAGGAATCATGACATTCCATACAATGCCTTGATAAAATAAAAAATTGCGCAAGCACCCAATAGCACTTGGCCAAATTTTTTCGGGTAAGTAGCTGTTTTTGTTTTTGTTTCATTCTGTGCTGATTCAAGACCTAAGTACTTATTGGATGAAGTGCTGTAGAGATATTGTTACAAGTTACAAGTAATAAGTGCTGACAAACCTATCTTCTTCTATCTGTATACTTCCTATCGCAGTTCAGCTGTCCTGTAGGCCGAAGATGATGCCGCGATAAGCGGTTATCACGCCATTTTATCGATTTTGCCCATACATTTTAACGTCGATAAAAGTTATCACGGCGCGAATCTTAGGCCTACTGGTCTATGGGACAACTCTATAAAAAAATAATCGATGTAGCAACCAGCACTGAAGTCCGATAGACTGGTGGGTTCTTTTGCCAGCGTGCTGTGAGGACAATTACATAGTAATGCTGACAGACAAATAGTGACGCACCTGTCTTCTCCTCTCTATAGATCTCCTCTCTCCTGTTTAGCTCCTGGTGCAATTCATCTGTCCTAGTACTTAGTCTAAGGGACAACTCTCTAAAGAGCTAAACAGGCAAGGCAGCTTATGGGAGCTCTGCAGACACGGTAGTAACATGGAAACTGCACCCACCTGTCTTCTCCTCTCTGTAGACCTCCTGGCGTAACTCGGCGGTCCTGGCCACGGGCGAAGGGCTGGGCGCCCACGAGGAGCTCTCCAGGCGCTCCTCGCGTTTGAGGGTAGAGTACCTGCTGGATGGGGCCTACATAGGCGTTGCGTGTGCAAAACATTTGTGAATGTACCTCGTGGTCCCGAATCTTGTGGCTACACCACAACAGCAACAGTTATTTAATAGTGAAAAGTTTCCACTGGTGTGATCTTTTGCCTGCGTACTGTAGGGACGCAGATTTAAGTATCGTGATGACCTATCCTCTCCTTCTGAACCTATCCCCTTCTTCTGTCGCAGCTCAGCTATTCTGGTCATCCATTGACGACTATGACAAATCTATGAAGAGCTAAATAGGCATAGCTGGGCACCGTTAATCAAATAGTTAACTTCGTTAATCGTTAAACCGTTAATAAAAAAATTAACTTCGTTAAACGTTAAAACGTTACATTTCGCAAGATTTAACGCAAGTTAACGTTAATCGTTAATCCGTTAACACATGATAATAAAACGAAAAAAATAATTGTATGCAAGGTTCAAATAATTTCGAAAGCTTGTATCGCGCATGGAATTTATTCCTCTTTTATGTTTGCGCTACAAGCTTTCGAAATTATTTGAACCTTGCATAAGTAGGGGAAAGTAGTACGAGATGATCCCCTTAAGCGGGAATCGCTGTAAAATACATATTTTTCAAGGTAAACCAAAAATAAAGACGATTACTACTAGTATATTTATCTATCCAACTTTCCTTATACTCAAAACCAGAAATTAATTGAGGTTTCATTAAAATATTTCATTTTTTGCAAAACCTTACCAAGTGATCATCTTGTACACCCCTGTGGGTAAGATGATCCCCAGGTAGGGTAAGATGATCCCTATGATTCTGTTCTATGATCTATTCTTTTCTGGTTATATTCCTTTCGGAGTACCTAATTATGCGAACAAATCGTTAAAAAGTTAGAAAAGAAAAACATTTACGAATTAAATAACNCTTAAAAGTTAATCCGTTAATAGAAATGTTAACTTCGTTAATTAACGATTAACGGATTAACGAGTTAATGCCCAGCTATGTAAATAGGCAAGGCAGTAAGCTGCCCTTAAGCCCGTAAGGGGAAGCTCTCTAGATCCTCACACTTGAGCGTGAAGTATGCGCTGGTTGGAATCCTATGGAGACACTGTAATGACTTGGAACATGCACCCACCTGTCTTCTCCTCTCTGTAGACCTCCTGGCGTAACTCGGCGGTCCTGGCCACGGGCGGAGGGCTGGGCGCCCACGAGGAGCTCTCCAGGCGCTCCTCGCGTTTGAGCATGGAGTATCCGCTGGATGGAACCTACATAGTGGTGCAGACGGTTGTGACGTGTACCTCGTAGTCCCGAGACTTGTCTCAACACCACTGCAGCACAGCCTTCAGTGAGGGGCATGTAGACGCTTGCCGAAGCCTTGGAAGAGTGCTGGGACATTGTTTCAAGTGACAACTGATGACGAACATGTCTTCTCCTCTCTATAAACCTTCTATCGCTCAGAGGAGCTCTCCAGCGCTTAGCAGAAGTACCCACAGGTTGGAATTCTATGGAAACACAGTAGTGACTTAGAACATGGACCCACCTGTCTTCTCCTGTCTATAGACCTGCTGTAACTGCTCAGGGGAGATCTCCAGACACACCTCGCGCTTGAGCGTGAAGTACCCACTGGTTTGAATCCTATGGAGACACTGTAATGACTTGAAACATGCACCCACCTGTCTTCTCCTCTCTGTAGACCTCCTGGCGTAACTCAGCGGTCCTGGCCACGGGCGGAGGGCTGGGCGCCCACGAGGAGCTCTCCAGGCGCTCCTCCGGTTTCAGCGTGGAGTATCCGCTGGATGGAACCTACATAGCGGTGCAGACGGTTGTGACGTGTACCTCGTGGTCCCGAATGTTGTGGCTACACCATTACAGCAACAGTTATTTACTAGTGAAAGGCGTGGAGTTTCCACTGGTGCGATCTTTTGCCAGCGTACTGTAGGGACGCAGATTTAAGTATCGTGATGACGAACCTATCCTCTCCTTTCTAACGTTCTGTCGCAGCTCAGCTATTCTGGTCATCCATTGACGACTATGACAACTCTATGAAGAGCTAAATAGGCAAGGCAGTAAGCTGCCCTTAAGCCCCTAAGGGGAAGCTCTCTAGATCCTCACACTTGAGCGTGAAGTATGCGCTGGTTGCAATGTTGTGGAAACACAGTAGTGACTTGGAACATGCACCCACCTGTCTTCTCCTCTCTGTAGACCTCCTGGCGTAACTCGGCGGTCCTGGCCACGGGCGGAGGGCTGGGCGCCCACGAGGAGCTCTCCAGGCGCTCCTCGCGTTTCAGCGTGGAGTATCCGCTGGATGGAACCTACATAGTGGTGCAGACGGTTGTGACGAGACTTGAGACCGAGACTTGTCTCAACACCACTGCAGCACAGCCTTCAGTGAGGGGCATGTAGACGCTTGCCGAAGCCTTGGAAGAGTGCTGGGACATTGTTTCAAGTGACAACTGATGACGAACATGTCTTCTCCTCTCTATAAACCTTCTATCGCTCAGAGGAGCTCTCCAGCGCTTAGCAGAAGTACCCACTGGTTGGAATCCTATGGAGACACTGTAGTAACATGGAACTTGGACCCACCTGTCTTCTCCTGTCTATAGACCTGCTGTAACTGCTCAGGGGAGATCTCCAGACACACCTCGCGCTTGAGCGTGAAGTACCTGCAGGTTGGAATCCTATGGAGACACAATAGTGACTTGGAACATGCACCCACCTGTCTTCTCCTCTCTGTAGACCTCCTGGCGTAACTCAGCGGTCCTGGCCACGGGCGGAGGGCTGGGCGCCCACGAGGAGCTCTCCAGGCGCTCCTCGCGTTTCAGCGTGGAGTATCCGCTGGATGGAACCTACATAGCGGTGCAGACGGTTGTGACGAGACTTGAGACCGAGACTTGTCTCAACGCCACTGCAGCACAATCTTCAGTGAGGGGCATGTAGTATACGCTTGCCAAAGCCTTGGAAGAGTGCTGGGACATTGTTTCAAGTGACAACTGATGACGAACATGTCTTCTCCTCTCTATAAACCTTCTATCGCTCGGAGGAGCTCTCCAGCGCTTAACAGAAGTACCGCTGTTTGGAATCCTATGGAGACACTGTAGTAACATGGAACTTGGACCCACCTGTCTTCTCCTGTCTATAGACCTCCTGTAACTGCTCAGGGGAGATCTCCAGACACACCTCGCGCTTGAGCGTGAAGTACCCACTGGTTGGAGTCCTATGGAGACACGGTAGTAACATGGAAACTGCACCCACCTGTCTTCTCCTCTCTGTAGACCTCCTGGCGTAACTCAGCGGTCCTGGCCACGGGCGAAGGGCTGGGCGCCCACGAGGAGCTCTCCAGGCGCTCCTCGCGTTTCAGCATGGAGTATCCGCTGGATGGAACCTACATAGTGGTGCAGACGGTTGTGACGTGTACCTCGTAGTCCCGAGACTTGTCTCAACACCACTGCAGCACAGCCTTCAGTGAGGGGCATGTAGACGCTTGCCGAAGCCTTGGAAGAGTGCTGGGACATTGTTTCAAGTGACAACTGATGACGAACATGTCTTCTCCTCGCTATAAACCTTCTATCGCTCGGAGGAGCTCTCCAGCGCTTAGCAGAAGTACCGCTGTTTGGAATCCTATGGAGACACGGTAGTAACATGGAACTTGGACCCACCTGTCTTCTCCTGTCTATAGACCTCCTGTAACTGCTCAGGGGAGATCTCCAGACACACCTCGCGCTTGAGCGTGAAGTACCCACTGGTTGGAATCCTATGGAGACACGGTAGTAACATGGAAAATGCACCCACCTGTCTTCTCCTCTCTGTAGACCTCCTGGCGTAACTCAGCGGTCCTGGCCACGGGCGGAGGGCTGGGCGCCCACGAGGAGCTCTCCAGGCGCTCCTCGCGTTTGAGGGTAGAGTACCCACTTGATGGGGCTTTAGCGGGCGTTCTGTGGGAGAGTTGGCGTCAAAATGAACTAGGGGCTGTGCAGAGATGATTAGGAGAAAATATAACCCTGTCAAATATTATTCTAGTCAACATCATCTGCCTACCTAGCGATATACTGCTCACCTAAATTGTACCGTTTTAATTTTAGTATTAATTTAATGTGTGTTATGCCATAAAAAAGTAAGATAAGTATATTAATTATCTATGTATTTAATATCATACATTTTTTTTACGCTAGCAATAAAAAACAATGAGAAAAGTATTTTTTTTATTAAGCCACGCGGCGTCCAACGGGTTAAGAAGACCCGTGGAAACGGTGGAACGCAAGTATCAATGAAACAAGCATACTTAATAAAACAAAATAATAAATATGAAAACATCATTCTTACCCGCGTTTGTAGTCAAAAGACGTGCTTTCAGCGGTGTCTGATGTGTATCCACCTGAAAAAGGAAATTAAGGCATCAAGACTAAGCTTCTGATTTGGTTCAAATTCGTAAAGATGTTGTCCCTATCAGCTGCCTCAATAGTCAATCAATAAAGGTAGATTTAAGATTGGGAATTTTGCACCTGTCAGCTTCCTGGAAAAACTGGATTTCTGGACCCCGAAAAAATAATTTGAACTTGTTAATTTAAGTAGCTTAAAAGCCTGGCAGTTTTTTGCTAACGTAGTGTAACATAAAATTTCCTGACCTTTGCCTAAACATTCTTGAAAGCCCAAATTTTTAGTTCTCTTCAAGAAGTGAACTTACTCTTATAAAGCTGCCTCTCCTGGTCCTTCTGCAGATCATCTAGCAGCGAGTCCAGCTCATCCACGTTCTGAGACAGCTCCTTTGTCACCTTCGAGCTCTTCACCTTGGAATAACCTGGAAGTTTGTGATGATACGGTAGTTTAGTGATGGTCATATATTGTATTTTGGAGGTTGATTCTCAAAGAATTTTACCAGTGATGAGTGTTTATAATCCTTTACAAATTAAGACAAGTCTTATCTTCCAGTTTTTTAGTCCGATATCTTGACAAATGTGACATTTTTCGTTTCAAGGTACCTTAGATAAAGTTTGTGGATTTCCTTGAAGATCATAAGTCCCTCAGGACAAACTAGCCTTCACGGTGGGAACGAGAGGTGGGAAGTTCCATAAGAAATAGCAAAATGCATACCAGGAGTGACGCTGGCGCTGCCGTAGAACCGTACTAGTAGCAGCTACCACAATACTATGAACCTAAGTTACACAAGAGTTGCAGCGGTGGGAATCAGAGGTGGGAAGTCCCTTCTTACTTACCAGGAGTGGAACTCGCGCTGCTCTCATAATTGTAAGTGCCGGTGGTAGCTCGCGTTTCTCTCGCTCATAATACGAGCTAAGTATACTCTCTTATCCTGGAGTTGCAGTGGTGGGAAGTGCCTTCTTATGTGGTAAAAGCTAACAAGGAGTGGAGCTGACGCTACTCTGCCCTTTGATCCTGGCTACACAGTGACAAAGTAAAATAAAAAAAAATCTTCTTCTGTATTCTTCTATTTCTGTGTTAAATGCTTACCAGGAGTGGAGCGGGCGCTGCTCTCATAGTTATAGCTGCACGTTCAGGTTATGGACGGTAGCTCAAGTTCCTCTCGCTCATAGTACGAGTTACTTTAATCCTGGAGTTGCAGTGGTGGGAATGAAAGGTGAGAAGTTCCTTCTTATGTGGTAAAATTCTTACCGGAGCTGGCGCTTCTCTGCCCTTTGATGCTGGCTACACAGTGACAAAGTCAAATAAAAAAAAACTTCTTCTCTATTCTTCTACTTCTGTGTTAAATGCTTACCAGGAGTGGAGCTGGCGTTGCTTTCATAGTTATAGGTGCGGGTGCCTGTGGTGATGGCAGGTAGCTCGCGTTCCTCCCTCTCATAGTAGTACGAGCTGCTTTCCGACGCCTTGGGCACCGTTTTCGGTGGGATTGTGTATTGCTGTAATAGAAATTGATAGATGCTAAGCTTTTTATTATGAAACAGAGTACGTACGAATGTGACTGGTCAATATTTAAAACTGACTAAATACACACACACACACAGGTTGGTCCCATCACCCATGCTTGACTTTGAATAGAGTTTTGAGCTGCAGCATTTAGACTTCACACCACACAATCAGTTCAGTTTCAGTGCTAATGGGCGGGGCATATAGCTCGTAAGGCTGATGTTTGGAGCAGAATAGGTATTTCTCTAGTAGCGACCACAGATTGGAAAACTAGTGTATACCAATAATCTAATGATGGTCGCGGGAAGTACCTGGATGATGCGGACAGCGCAGGATCGTTATGGACATCCTTGGGAGAGGCCTTTGGCCAGCAATAGACGTTATTTGACTGAAACGTAAAATAAAGACCAGCAGTGGACATCTAGAAGCTGATAATACCATCACTAACCTCGACAGTGTGAAGATCCTTCCTGTCGTACTTGCCAGAGGGATGCTTCTCCTCCTTATACTCGTAGTGGTACTCGCGAGCGCCTCCACCTGTTCCGAAGGAATCCAGCTTGCTGCCTTTTGGGATCAGGTCGGATTTCAGCATGTCTGGAATGATGAAGGGGATCTTAGGGACTAATAATGGAGTAAAAGATGATGAAGGGTAGAAGATGGAGTGTAAGATGGTGTTGATGAAGACAAACAAGTGAATGATTGGAGCTTTGCGACAGTTGATAGTGCTAATTATATTAGCGAATTGAGTCGCTTCTGAAACTAAATTTTAAATAAACAATTTGAAAAAATCTAACTGCCTAAGGCGGGACTCGAACCCACGATTCGATTTTTCAAGTTATTTATTTAAAATTTAGTTAAAGCATTAAACCATATTATAGGAAGGTGCTGAAATCTGGCCAGCACTATCAAATTAATGGTAACTATGATCTTTGTTCATCAATCCATCATAAAAAAGATACTCAATGATCACACTTCAATAGAATCAATTTAATCAGCGGAGATCATTTGAAATCTTATTTAGCATGAAGAAAAAAATAACTTTCTTCTTTTTTTCTGAATAAATTTATATACATTTTCTTACCAAACTGTTCGTCGGTGTAGGGAATGTTACCGCTGCTGGAGTACTCTTTGTACTCCTTGTGTTTACTGTACGATTTCGTCGCCATCTTGCCCTGATTGGTCTACCTGGAAAGAAGAAACATGTTTCTTGAGACTCTCCTTTTAATGCTATGGGAAAAAGGCATAAATAACCGCCTGCCAAGCGTGGGGATTATGGCCAAACCCTCCACTATAGTGGAGGAGGCTCATAGTCCAGCAGTGGACTGTAAAAGGCTATTGATGAATGAATATAATTTTGGCGACGATTTGCTGTGGTTTTGCCGTCATATAGGTACGTCTTTATTGCATAAACGCTAAACCGCTTTTGATTCACCTTTTCGATTGGAACTGGCATAAAACTGGTCAAATGCTACTTTTTTATCGCAAAAAACTTAGAAGTTTTTCTGATAATTTCTCTTATTATGAATACCTACGAAAAAATTTGGTAAGAAACACGTTTTATAAACGATCGCAATGTGGTTTCTAATTCTATGACAGACGGGCAAAAGCTCTTGTACTTTTAAACCTGACTTATTCGTTTCTAACTAGGATTCTGTACACACACTTACAAATAAGTAGCACCCACACGGCAACGTAACAAATAAGTCCGATAGCATCAGTAGCAAGAATCGATAGTGGTAGATGGTACTACCAGTACTACATACTCGAGATAGTATGTCCATAACAGGCAGTGAAACTAAACGCTATGCTCCCGCGTGGGTGCGCTGCTTTCATGTGTCCGGTTGCACTGGATAGGTACTTGCAGGCTCACGATTGTGATGGATCGGTTGTGGATAAATAAATCTAAACTAGTATTTTATACTTGTCTAACTAAATATTATAGAGTTAAAAGTTTGGATAACTTATGCGCTTTTCAGAAACTACGGAAAAACGAAATGGAACTCTGGAAAAACGGGAAAATTTATCCAAAGGACTTTTTTACACGTACGATGTCACGGGCGGTTATTCTTATCCACATGGGTACCTTGTATTATTCTGCCATCTGTTTGTTCCATTTTACTCAGAACCAATTTTCATAGAGATACATTGGACTTTTGATTAGAAAAATATTATATGGGCTTTGTATTTGGGCATGGACACTAATTTTTATTATGGACCCTGAGTACCCTGACCCGAGTAAATCAGTTAAACATGCCTAGTTTTATACAATTTAACCCGACCTAGTATCGAACCCCGAACCTTCTGAAGTAAGTAACTGCTAAGCCTATATGCTAAAAGCAACTATAACTTCTCGTTAAGTGAGTATAAACGTATTCTAACTCCTTACTAATTGGTCAAACATCACCACCTAATTAAATACATTTAATACACCCATATACCTTGTAATATCGTGAATTTAAACAAATTAAGACCGGTTGACATTTGTCGCCGCAGCCATGACACACAAAGACATCGCCCGTTTTGGCGCGAACAGCTGTTCAAATAATTCGCGTTTTACAACTTAATCCGCCTACAAGACAGGAGCATTTGCGGAGTTTATTACTTGAAGATAAGTTACTTGTCGTAAGTAAGATGATACGGTGTCAGTGTGAGACATCACGAGAACTTAATCACAAGTTTAACTGCCGCCTTTAAGATAATATGGTTTAGTAGTTAGGTACTAGCAAGTTCTTATTCTGTGGTAGGCTAGGAAAGCTCTGCTTTAGAAGTTCGATTTCAGTTCACTTTTTAGTTAAATTCCAGTTGTTTCCAGATGAGACGCACTACTTATCTGAAAAAGCCATTACCTTATTGTAGATATTTGAAAAGGCATAGGTACCTACTTAGCCAGCCGTTTAACATATTTAACAACATTAAAATCCTACGCAAAAAGATAAATTTTAAATGCTTAGATCTCTGCAGGATACCACTAAGTAGTCGTCACTACGATATCATTACTTTATTTTATGTTTTTGATATCTGTTTTAATGGACTCGTATTTCCCAAAGCTATCTAGGTCTAGGCTTCGTACACAAAAAATAGTAAAATCATACTAGGTAGCTAAGAATTCCTAAACTCTTGTTATTGGTATAGATAGACTATAGACTATAGATAGTTAGATAAATACGATTTGGAAGTCAAAAGCTTCAAAAATTATAAATCTCCTGCCCTAAACAACTTCAAAATAAATATCAGATTTCCTTGACTTGTTATTATCTTCGTTCACAAACAGTATTACAAAAACAAACTAACCTCCATATCCATTGATCACTGTACCTACATAATGCAGATATTGTTGCACAGCCTAACTTGTCAATCACATCATAAAATCAGCACTAGTTAATTATTAATTAATTCAGAAAATCTACTACACTGATCACTGTACATTATGCAGAATATTGTTGCACATCCTGACTTGTCAATCACATCATAATCAGCACTAATAATTAATTAATTCAGAAAATCTACTAACTGCATGCATGTTGATCTTGAAGCAAACCAATCGTTACTGTCGCTTCGATAAAAATAAAGGCGGTATTTTAAAATTTTAACATTTTAACACGGTACGCTTTACGGCGGTATTCGTAAATAAAATCAATTCTCATGTGCTCTATTCGCAAAACAATAAGGTTGCTTTCTTTTTTTTAAATACTGACTTTGACAGATCCTGCATCGCGGTGTCGAAGTATTTTTTTCGAGTTGCATAAATAGTAACGTGTGGGAACGTAGTATGGAGTCCGTGGCTTCAGGGTAAGCCAGTTCATCCAAGCTGGTCTGAGTTGGTGACAGTCAGATGGGTGGCCCCCGCCGCCAAGCCGTGGCCTCACGGCACCAAGGAAATTGAGATGAACAACACCAAACCCCCTAAGAAGTTGCTAACAGCTTATGGCTAAATTCGACTCCACTTTTGCTACGTTAGGTGTTAGATAGTATTGCTTGATTTTTGTGACCACTATTAGGAATTTAAATAAATTAAAATTTATAATTTTTGCCACTTGTGGGACAACACAACAGGAATAAATATATTTTTATGTTAGCAAAATTTATTTCAAATACGACTCATGTATGTTAAATTGTTCGTAATGTTTAAAGATTTATTAATTTTAATCACCTAGGTCCTAACATTAGACGTTTGTGAAGCGATGAATCTCCATGATACAGTTGAGGTACAATTATTAAGTTTTTTTTTATAATTCCAGTTAAGTACACTATGTATTTTGTCTTGTATTTTTTGTTAGGCTTGATAAAAATTTATAATTAACATTGACCCTTCAAAAATCGAAATGCCATTATACAAAAAGTTAGCCACAAAAAAACGAAAAAAGCAATTTTTAAGAGCAACTCTTCAGTTCCCAATTTCTTAAAAAATGCCAAGCCAGCAAAAAGGTGGGTCAAGATGACAACAGCTTGGCTGTTCTGTCGCGTCATAGGTTACCAAGCGATCTAACTTGGCCAGGATCACCGCACCCTTTAGGGTGCGTGGATATTAAATGCCGACGACTCAGTCCAGCTCGCCAACTGGCTTCCCTCGATGCGACGGACCCGACGTGACGTCATTTTAGAAGGCACTTGTATAGCTTCTCGCCTAAAACTTTGATATCGCGATTCAGGACGTGTAAAGAAAAATATGATAATGAGGGTAGCTGGTTAAAATGATTACCTACCGTGAAGTTTTATTACTTTGTGTCATTTTTTGTAATATATCTTAAAGTTAAATCAAATTAAAGTTGATAAAAATCTAAATAAAACAGATTCAATTCTATGAACATAGCGTAAAAGCGCATTTAAAGGACTGAATCATAAGACGAAGTAAGGTATTGTTATCGGCCATTCTCAGATGAGCTAGTTTTTGGGTGTCCGGGCTGTTAAATCGTTAAAAATGACAAATTAGAGACATGCATGTATTTTTATATGTTACTTAACAACCCCATCCAGTTGTGCATTAAATCATAGGCCTCTATTTTAAGTATTTGTGACTTAATAAATTTCATGAACCTCTATTCTCTAATTACCGTTACGCGTCCGCGCACCGACTTAATGTTAAAACTTGGCTGTAATTTTTATGTCGTATAGATTTGGTTTACTCCATTCAACATTTTAAAGAGTACAAAAGATTGTCTTACGCATAGCAAAATATCTATTCAATAGAACCATTCTGTAAATAATTAGAATTAAAAAACTGCTTGTCCGAGCGAAAGTCCTAATTCCCGTGACGTTTTCTGTTTTTGGGCACACAAGCCTAAATAATAATATTTGACACATCATTTACGCGCGCGGCGCGAGCCCTTAGTTAGTTCTAAGACCTGTTAGCAAGTAGACGTCTATTGCGTTGGCGTACCGTCGATGAATTGCGTAAGAGTATAATTACCATATCTTTGGTTTTCAATTTTTCTATTTACCATGTCCTTATTTTTATACTCGATTTTTGAAGGTAGATCCACGTTGTTAATTTAAATAGATTCAGTACTTTGGCCTTCATACGTTGTAGTAAGACAGTATTTGCATAAGCTGAAGATTTTGGAAGACTCAGGTGAGTTATATGAAGTTCTCTTACTTTTATTTCACTTCCCTTTACCTACTCCATTGACTTTTTTGTTTTAATTCCCAGGGATCATCTCGTACATATAGGAAGGGATCATCTTGACCCAAGTCCCACTTTTTGTTAAATATTTGCTAAAATAATCTACAAGTACGCGGCTACGTTTTTATGGCCAAAATATTAAAATTAAACAAAATAGAAAGCCTAACAGTAATTTCATTTAACATTGTTTGAATAAAAGTAACATGAGCTCAAAGTCATGCCTATTTTAGATCAGAAGTACACAATTTTTCTTTTTTCTCGTCAAATTCGATGTATCGCTCACGCCACCATTACGATTTGACTGAGGCGGGGATGTGTCCAGAGCTATGTTTTGCCAGTGAAAGAAACTAAATGACATTAGTGGTTTCAGCACAATCGCGAAAGATCATCTTACCCCAGGGTATCAACTCGTACTACTTTCCCCTAGGTACAATTATTTTTGTCGTTTTAGTACAACTGCATTTCAGAATAAAAGCTTGTTTTTAAAAAAGTTTTTTTATTATTATAATTTTATTTTACACTTTTTAGTATCTCAATCTCAGAGCCTTGGTTCAATTACAATACA